TCTAATCACTTATATGAAACTTTAAATTTAAGAATGGAGTTTTCTAGTTAATTTCATTAATGCTTAACTGAGGATAAACTAGAAAAAAGCCTTATTTTTTTTTCACTTTTGTTGCTAAAAAATCTCCCTAAAATGTGTGTAAGAAGGGTTTATAAACAGCCTTCTAGTGTGACTTTCCAGAGAATATTTTTCTCTTAAGAGAAAAAAAGGTAGCACACTAGAGCATTGACATCTAGCCCAGAAGACATCAGTCTAGATATGTGTCTTAGATCCATCACTTTGGCTTTAAGAACCTCAATTTCCACTGAGATATATTCAATTATGTATAATGTGATATTCAGGCATCAAATTTCAAAAAACTATAGCAAAACAAGGGTATTTCTTGAACTGATAGCTTGTGAGGTTCTGCATGTCCAACAAGCAATTAGGATTTATATTGTCATTCTTATTCCCTGTGACATTTTCCCATTGGTGAGGTCATAAAAGATCCATGTAAAAATTAGACACAGGTCTGTTTGCTGCAGGATAATTCATGTTAGTTGACAATCGAAATCAAGCCATTAAATGTCCTGTATATTTGGAATACACAGGCCTGGATTTATCTATGTTTCTCCCTTCCCACAACTCTTTTTCATATAAAATGTAATACAATTGTATTATATAAGCCTTCTATTGACAGAAGAAATGATTGCATACATGGAAACCTCCAAGGAATCCACAAAAAGATTTCTAGAACAAATAGGGCAGTTAATTAAGGTCACAGGACACAATATCAACACACACACACACATACACAAAAATTCATTTCTATATACTAATAACAAACAAGCTCAAAATAAAATAAAAATGCAGTATTACTTGCAATTACTCTGAAGAACATGTAATTCTTAGATATGTCTAACAAAACATGTAAAGGATCTATAGGCTAAAACTACAAAGTACTGATTTAAATAAAACATAAAAGAACTAAGTAATTGCAACTACATACTTTGCTCATGAACTTAAAATACTCAACATAATAAAATTATCAAAGTTCCACAAACTGATCTATATGTATAATGCAATTCTTGTCAAAACGTGAGGCGGGGAAAAAAGGTATACATATACAAGCTTATTCTAAAATTCAATGAAAGGAAAAGATCCTAGAATACTCAAAATAGTTTTGAAAACAAAGAATAAAGGAAGAGGGATCAATTTTTCTGATTTTTTTTAAATTTTATATTCTCATTAGATCTCATGAATATTCTTTTTTAAAATTTTTTATTTGTTTTAATTAGTTATGTAGATTACTCTTTAGCTACAGTAATCAAGCTGTATGCTACGGGTAGAGCATAGTCACATAGATCAGCAGAACAAAATAGCTCAAATACAAGCTTGTTTAATTTCTGACAAAGGAGCCAAAGCAATTCAGAAGAATGGTAGTTTTTCTCAAAAGTACTATAGAAAAATTAGACATCAATTGAGAATATGAACCTCAACCAAAATCTCACTTCTTATTTTTAGAAAACTCAAAATACACAGTGAACTTAAATGTAAAATATAAATATGTAAAACTTTTTAAAAATTGGAGAAAATCTTTAGAGCTTAAAGACTATACATAGAGTTCTTAGACTTGACATGGTATTTGTGATCCATAAAAAGAAATATTTACAAATTATCCTCCTCAAAACCTTAAAACTTGCACCCCATAAAAGACCTTGTTCAGAAAAAGAAAAGACAAATTATAGACTCAGAGAAAATATTTGTGACTCATATAACCAACAGATGATTCATATCTAAATATATTAAGAATTCTGAAAACTAAACATTTTAAAATATCCAGTCAGAAAAAGAACAAAAATCGTACACAGATTTTTCACTGAGGATTTATAGAGAGTATATAGGTCCTTGAAAAGATATTCAGCACCATTAGCTAGTAGGAAAATGCAAATTAAAATCACAAGAGAATATTACTATATACCTATTAGAATGGATAAAATAAAAAACAGTTACAGGAGGCTGGGGTTGTGGCTCAGTGGCAGAGTGCTTGCCTCGAACATATGAGGCACTGGGTTTGATCCTCAGCACCACGTAAAAATAAATAAAATAAAGGTATTGTATCCATCTACACTTAAAAAAAAAAAACAACAGTTACAACACCAAATGCTGACAAGGAGATAAAGGAATCAGATCACTGTTAACATTGCTGGTAAGATATGTGGGCACAATCACTCTGAAAAACAGTTAACTGTTTCTTTCAAAACTACAAATGAATTTATCATACAAGCTGGCAATACTACTCTTGGGTAATTTATTCCGTGAAAAAAAAAAACTCATTTTCATACAGAAATTTGTAAAGGAAGATTTATAGTAGCTTTACTCATAAGAGTCCAAACTGGTAACTTATCTCAGTGTCCTTCAATTAATGAATTGAACAAACTGTGATATCTTACTACTATGGAATGCTACTCAGCAATGAAAAGAATATACTATTGATAGATGCAATGAATTGGATGAATTTTAAGGAAATTACATCAAGCAAATTTCATACCACATATTCCATTCATATATTAGTGAAATAATGTAATTATGAAGATGGATAACAAATTAATGTTTGCCAGGAAATGAGGACTGGTGGATTGAGGAGGCAGTAAATATGTCTATGAACAGAGAGCATTGGAAGTCTTGTGGCAATGTCACAGTTTATAATTCCTGTTTGTCAGCCACCCAGACACAAGTAGTTACACAAAGTCACATATGTGATAAAATTTCATAGAACTACACACATACACACACACAGTGTATGTATATGGCTGAAATTATACCAATGTCAATTTTCTGATTTTGATATTCTTCTATAATGGTGCAAAATACTTTTAGAAGAGATTGGAGGAAAGACCACCAGAACTCTTTGTACATTTCTTTGCAACTTCTCATGAGTCTATAATTACCACAAAATAAAAAGTTAAAAATAGTAGCAAGTACTATTTAACATATTCTTCTGAAAAAGTACATATTCTTTTGCACATATATTCACTATTTTTCTCCAAGAAGAACAGCTATATCTAGAACAAAAATCAGAAATAATACCACAATGAAAAGGAAGACATCTTTATTTGGTTAATAATAACCTTTACACTTACCACTTGGTTGATAATAATTTATCAGGGCCCTGAATAATAATAATTTTTAAAAAGATAAACATTAAAAGAAAAAGTCTTCAAGATATTGCACTGGTCCCTTTTTACCAGCTGCATTTTAAAGATGGAACAAATTGGTATTAAGGATGGTACAATTTGTATTTGAAGAAGCAAGGGCCATAGGTTGGGGTGTATGTAGTTCAGTAGTAGAATGGTTGTTTTGCATGCAGAAGGCACTGAGTTCAGTCCCTAAAACCTGTTCCCCTCAATTTTATTTTAATTTTAAAAAGATAAATATAAAATTAAAAAAAGAAGTATGGGCCAGGACTGGGGATGTAACTCAGTGGTAGAATGCTTGCCTAATATACACAAGGCCCTGGGTTTGATCCGCAGCACTGCAAAAAAAAGAAGCATGAACCAGTGTCTTCAGAGCAAACAGATGAACAAAAAGAGGTTCACTCATACATCTGAAATGAACTACTCAAAAAGAGAACAGCCACAGGACGCAGTGGCTCACGCCTATAATCCCTACAGCTCAGGAGGCTGAGACAGGAGGACTGCGAGTTCAGAGCCAGCCTCAGCAATAGTGAGGTGCTAAGCAACTCAGTGAGACCTTGTCTCTAATAAAATACAAAATAGGACTGGGGATGTTGCTCAGTGGTCAAGTGCCCCTGAGTTAAACCCCTATTACCAAAAACAGAGAGAGAGAGAGAGAGAGAGAGAGAGAGAGAACAGCCAGCTCTCAGTGTCTGTTTTACCTACAACACCATACCTGGTTTTACTAGGGAGAAAGAACAGAAAATGTAGGAGGAGGAAAAAACACACAAGAAAATCTCCAGTGAGACTCAGAAAGTCCCAGAAATTCACGAATCAGGAAAGCACAGCATAACCATGAACTCACCCACCCAGACGCAAGTCATAAGGGCTGATACCATCTTACTCCATGTAATATTTGTCTTCCAGTTGGAGACAGAAATAAATATAAACTACTCTAAAACCTGGATCATGTTACCATTTAATTGTTTGCATAGAATTAAATGGCTGGGGAAGAGGCCATCCCAGAACCCTGTGCCTTTGTACTCACTGTCTTAAATAAATTGTCCTGTTTGCCAATTTGCTTTTTCCACAAAGAGAGGCTCCGTCTTGTCTCTGAATTTTGTTTTTTCAAAAGCTTATTTCTGCATGTTAAAATTCATTTTCAAGACTCCATTTAGCTGAGACGAGAGTAAAACCATTTAATGACTAAAATTTTGAATCTAAGTAGATGAAATTATTTATGTAGATCATTAGAAATACATGAGTGGCCGCTCTGGTTTCCTGTCTAGGGAAAGCTTATCGTTAAATATGCTTTTGAGCCTTTACCGAAACTGAAGCAACACTCAGTTCAAAAATCTTCTAGATTTTAATTTATATTTCCAAAAGTAACAGCTATTTCCTAGGAACAATGGAAAGACTTGTTAGAAGTTTAAAAAAAAAGAATTCTTCATTTGAAATTTTTGAATATGGGAATATTCATGAAAAAAAAAAGAAAGGAAGAAATCTGCCAAGGGTTCATCAAACAGTTGCATAACCCTCTTTTTATCTGGGGTGTTGACCCAGCCATTCATTCTATGTTTGCTATGGTGAGTTCAGCAAAACTGGTTCCCAAGGCAACTGTAATCCGTGAACAGAGCTGGCTCCATTGGTGGTCAGTTACAACACGCTTTGTCCTGTCCAGCGTCCTGTCACTGAATGAACAGAGACACAGAAAACAAGCACCCTCAGTAAACATGACCTAATGAGGGTGGTGGCCTTCAACTGCCTGGGAGGTACCAGAAGAACCCTACAAAGAGCCAGGGCTCTCACACAGACAGGCAACACCTGCCAAAGAAGTCTCTGAAATATCCTTTTAATTGACATAAAACTATCCTATTCACCTTTGGGGGCCAAGGAATTGTCTTTTGATTTATTTTCCTTTACTAAATACTGTGTAATTAGATGAATTCGGAACTCTGTAAGGGGGACAGTTTGTCGTGCCCAGTAGCTTCCCACTGGACTCTGGAGCCTGGCCTGCAAGAGGTAAGAGCAGTGAGCTCCCCTGCGGGACCCTCTGACTCCATCTGGGCAGGGCAGGCTGAGCTAAGCAGGGACCATGAACATATGCCTCTCCTGCAGCTCCAGCAAATCCTCATCCTTGGAACAACCTTCGCCATGTTCTGCAAACCATGCCTCAGGAGCAGTACAACATGGGGACCCTGGCACTCCAAGAACTTCCAGAAACACTTTCTGAAAGTTCAGAGCTCAGTGACAGTTACGACTCTACCTAACTTATTCCTGTAGCTCCTTTTCAATTAATATTTATTGCATGTATTATACTATGTTGAGACACTTTTGGCTTCCAGTGTCATTAATGTATAAATCCAGGTTGACAAGAGAGAGATATATATGGGATGTCTAACTGAAATGCTTAGATTTCCATAACCACTTAATTAATTGATTTCTTTACATTTAGATTAATTAATTTCTTTAAGATGAATTTTGCCAAATATTCCTCTTCAGAGATTGTAGGAAAACATTAATTTTATAATGTGATTTAATAGCAGAAAAAAAATGTACGTCAGCATGAAAGCAGTTTTCTTTGTGATTCTGTATTTCATTCTGCTTGACTAAACCAGTGTGGCCTACATACTGATGAATTGAGAGTAGTTCCCACTTGGTTTTTGGCCTCAGAATCATTGGGCCAACTTGGTAGGCATACAGAAGCCCAGAGAACATCACCAACATCCCTGGGAGAAGTATTCAGATTCTATTGTTTTGATTTTTTTTTTATAAAATTTTTCTATCTCAAACAATTACATTGAAAATTCACTAGATGCTTAATCAATCTAAATAATTCCTGCCTTTGCAATTCACTAGGCACATATAGAGTTCTACCTTTCCTCCTGTGAACTTTACTAATCGGAATGAGAGAGGAATTCAGTGTCTTAGAAGAGGAAGTGCCTGGGCTTCTCAACAAACCTTTGTTCACTCATTTGTCTCTTTTCTGTGAGGGACAAGAGACTTGGCACTGATCAGTTTATTAGTAAACCCGCTGCTTAATTCAACTTTTTAACCACTGTGACCAAAAGACCTGATTAGAACAATTTTAGAGGAGAAAAAGGGTTTTGGGTCTCATGGTTTCAGAAGTCTCAGTCCACAGATGGCCGACTCTGTGCCCGAGGTGAGGCAGAACATCATGGTGGAAGAGTGTGGGAGAAGAAAGCAACTCAGAAAATGACCACCAGAAAGCCGAGAGAGAGAGAGAGAGA